CAGACATGGCTTGCAGTAACGTTGAAGGCTTGAAGAGAGTTTTCGGACCGGATGTTGTTGGGCGAATTAAGTTGTGTGAATTTCACTTCAAAGAATGTCGTAATCATCAGTCATGAAAGGTTGGTGATGAAGACCGCAGCAACTTTAAAAGTTTATGCAATTGCCTCCTGCAAGCCCCATCCCCAATAAGCTATAACAAAGCAAAAGAAGATTTGGAATCATTCATTGCCGAATGTCCTGAACATCAAAGTCTTTCAACTTGGCTCGATTGGTGGCACAAGAAAAGAGCATTTGTTTTCCCTGCCTTCATTAGTGTTTGTGGTGGCCCAAAAATGAACCTAGCTGAAGTTATTCATGCAACTTGGGTTAAACGGGACCACAGAAATATGTCATTGTTGGATGCTGCACACGCTGATGCTCGGGATAACAACCAGTTAAAGTCGAATACAAAGCTTTTCACGTGGGAAATTCACGAGGTGGAACAGGTCCTTCTTTAGCAGACAAAGCCCTTCAAAAAACCTCGAACAATGTGAGAAGGGCTCATGCCCTTGGCCAGGAGCTTACACATGAAGACATCACAGACACCGAAAGAACTGCATCGCCAACTGCCCTCACCGCGCCATTCAGTTTGCCATCAGACAAGCATAATGCTAGCGAAACGACCTCGTGTGAAAGAACAACAAACAACAGACCGAGGCGCTACAGATCGTCAAGAAGTAAAGTGTTTTTCGATCACCTTGAGGGAGCAAAAAAGAAAGAAATTTGATAAAGGTAAAATCAATGACTGTTCGAAGACAAGAGAATCCTGGACTTATATGTGGCTTGTCTACTTCAAGATATACAGATTACACAGTTCATATTGGTAGTCAGCATTCATGTGACTGTCAAGATTATTTAAATATCGCGGGAAACAGGCATGCAAACACATTTTATGGACACTACTATTCAGATGTGGTATTCAGGAGAGTAGTGAAATTTTACAACGGGTATCCCTGACCATCGAGGAAATTCGCCATATTACAGCTAATACCCCAGCTAACATTCCTGAACAATTGAAGGCTATGGATGAAGCCAACACTCCAACCCAACAGAGGCAAAGCAGGGAGGATATTACAACAAACCTTTTGGAAAATGATCCTTGCAACAGCAGTCTGCAAATGTGGTACCTTGAATGAAAGGAGAAAAAAAGAGGACAAGTTCCACGGTGCAGAGGCTGCCAGGCTGAACAAAAAGATGGGACCTTTGTCTAACTGTAACTGGGCTTTATGTGCCATATGAACAAAACTTTGTGGTAGAGACCAATTTCTATTTTTGCCCTACCACTTCATGTATCAACCACCTAACGCCATGGACAAATTTAAGAAAACCACACACGGTTCATGCGGGATCAGTCTCAGATGAAGATATCAGGAAGCTTAATCTTCAGCCAATAAGAATTCTGAAATGCAATGCTTCAAGCACAGAATGAGAAAACCAATAAGGATTACAAATTGTATAGGTACACATTAACCATACATGAATATAAAAAGATTTGCACAAACTTTGCAACCCGATGCAAATGTGGCAATGGCCATGGTTGTATCAAATTTGCTGTTGTGCAAATTCTGTTCAAATTTGACAAATATATTTTCACCAATACAATTTTTTTAAGAGAGAAAGGGTATAGGATAAATTTGCCTCAAACTACTTTTCATTTGTACAAGCGAACCAGTGGGTATTTTCATAAAACATTTGCAACCTTTCAAATTTGATGCAATCGCAGCCATTGTCACATTTGCACCAGGTTGCAAAGTTAGTGCAAATATATCAAATGTTTTTTCGTCCTGTGATAATTTTTCTGGAAATGGCCCATTGCGAATGGGCACAAATTCAAAAGAGATATTATCAGAAAGGGTCATCTTAGCATTGATTGTAAATGTTTGTAATCATAATACTATGAACAAAATTGAAGCATTTCTACTGTGTTTTCTGGTGCAAAAGATCCCACCAAATGCTAATTTCTGCCCTGATTACAGTAACTATTAACGGTCAGTATAAACTGCAGACTGCAGACTCGGTACAATGTGCAGAATGAGTATAAATTGCAGACCGAATACGCAGACTAGGTATAAAATGCAGACTATGAAGTTTATACAACATTCGTCAGAAAATGCAAAATAACACACTTACCGGATTTAAATTACATGGGAAATGTTAATCTCAATACAGACGACCGGTGTCATATAAAATTTTCATTAATCCGCCAAGATGTTTACATACTTTATGTAAGCAAAAATAGCGTTATGTACCGAAGTGGTTCCGAGTGTACGATCGTCGCGTCGTCGTTCGCCTACCTGCGAGCAGATGTATTGTTCGGCTTAATCGCAGGCTCGATGCCCTGTTTTTGTCATCGTGATGACGTCACGCCAAGCAGCCCACGCTAACAAAATAAAATCACAATGGCGTGCCCACGGCCGGTAAGTGTCTTTGTTTCTTTTATATTTTTGATTACATATAAATTATGAAAATATATAAATAATTAAAGGTTACTTCTTCATTATGAAGTGAATTTAGGTTTCGATCAACTAGGCTTTCCTTATGATATAGGTCCTCATTTTGTTGAATTTATAGATATAGTTTTTGACCTCGTGTTTTGCCGGTCCTATATTAAATCTATATTTTAATATGATATACTGATACACGACATTTAATAAAAATGCTAAAATAAATTTTTGTAAACAACTGAGCAGTTGCTTTTATATGGAAGAGAAAATATAATTATTTAGACTTATAATATTATTTATAACTGCTTGACATATTATTTGCATTTATCAATGTTAAAAAGTCCTGGGGAGGGGGGGAGGGGTGGGTGTTCGAAATTTTCTTCAAGTTTTGTTTTTAGTCTTAGAAGGTGTTTATATGGAAGCTAGCCTGCAAACAGGCTCTTTGAATTGAATTAGAGCCTGCCGGTTTAGTCAATAAAAATGCGTCTGTGCCCATCACTATTTATAGTGTTGTCAATCAAATGTAAAATACAATGTGACAAATTAATACAGACATGCCTTATGTAATAGCCTGCGAGTATAAACAAAACGCATATCTTGATTTCAACGCACTTACAACAACATTAAAACAACCCTGAAATTTTCTGAAGTAGCAATAGTAATTGTGAATTCACATAAACACCGCAACGACTTGAGTTTGAACAACTACGGCGTACTAGAATGCAAATTATAGTCGCCTTTATCTTAGAGTAAAGATGCTATTGTTGATATAAGAACATTGCCGTTGTATTTGCCAAACTCTCTTATATAGTACAGCTAAAACATCGTTTCCGTCTAGAATATTATTAAGAGCTTTTGACTGTCCATCCTTTAACTTTAAACAAAGATTTAGTTTTCTATACAACTTGTCGCTATAGAATGATATTTTCGATTTGAATCCATTGTTGTGTAAATTTAATTACCTTTTATGGCAGTATAATGTCGTTAATTCAATTTCAACCAATGGAAACCCTGCGTCGTTCTAAGCAACGCACAGACGCGTTTTTATTAGCTAGCCTGCAGGCTCTCTCTCAAATTTCAAAGAGAGTTCAAAGAGAGCCTGTTCGCAGGCTATATGGAAGCAAGCCAGTGTAGGTACCCGGGCCAGGTTGCTTTGCTGGGATTTAAAACATCCCTATGTAATTTGTACTAATTTAATTTTGCGTTTGTATGGGAACCGGCCAAGCTCGTCTAGGCAAGATCTCACTTTGTAAATCTAGGATTTCATCTAGGCAGTTTGGGGCTAGCTTGCCTAAGCGAGCTGAGTTTTGTTCATATGTTTTCAGATCTGGAAATAATTCTAGCCTTTCTTGGATCCTAGCCGGGGGGGGGGGATTTTCTTTGAACACACTGTTATCAAATTTAGGTGGGGCATTTTATTTGAAAACTCTCATAAAATTTAGTTAATAATAATAATAATAATTACAATATTTAGTCAGGGGGTCCACTCACGAAAGTGATTTTCAGTGGAGCCCTGATAAAAAATAAAATAAAAGAATAAAAATATCAAACTAACAAAAGTGAATACATGAAAAGTTATATCGTATAAAGTTCTTGCACATCCAATTGGTTCGGTAGAGAGTCCTATGGCTATGTTGGTTTAATACTTAGCATTAACTGTGCTTCACAGCCTTCACTGTTAACAAAACCTATTCAATTAATCAATAAATTGGATATTGGATAATATTAATTAATTCTATGTTACTAATGTTAGCAACTTAGGTCTTCATAGAATATTGATCAAATTAAATTGTAATAAATGCTTATATTGTGTAATAGCTTATTACAGTTGTACTTATAACTTATAAGCATTCATTACTACCTAATTTGTCATTTGCAAGTTGTGTGATAAAGAAATTTAAGTTTCAAGGAATATTTTTTATGTATGCTCAAGTGAAAAAAACTTTTTCGAGACCGATTGTGCATCAGGTGATATCACTTATATCAGCGTTTTTAGTTCTAAGAAAATTTCTTTAGAATGGGAAATTTTTTAACCTTTTTGTTGATTTTTATGGATATTTTTTTTAAAGAAATTTTAAAACTTTCTGCCAAAGAAAATTGAAAATCTTTTCTAGCAATCAAAACATCATCCACCACTATTTCGAGGTCTGTATGTTTTGGCGAATATATCGTTGTAAGTCTGCCTCATATAGATGCAAAATGAAATCAGTTTGGCAAAGCGAGCTATCCCGGGTAGCCGGGTTGGCCTGGTCTCATATAAACACCCCCTTACAGTCATAGAGATATTGTAACAGAATCTCCCATTCAACTGTCGGTATCCTGAATTTGAAAAACTATTTTGCAGATAAAGAAATTTTAATGATTGTTAACTCTAATATCTTTAGCCATTTTGGTCTGATATGTATGCACATAATATTTGATGTTTATTTTCATTTGCAGGTAACCATTGATCTCACAAAATCAGAAAGTGAATCTCCAGTGAGTTGTGTTAATTATATGGCGATAAGCAGTCAGTTGAAAGGCAGTTGAAACATTAAACTTGATCATGCAGTAAAATTGTCTGCATAAGACAGAGTGAAACAATAAAGCAGGGTGCTTCTGTGTTCATTGTAGCTTAATGGATTAATTATCCAGTGAATAACATGTACGAAGCATTAGCTGTCTCAAGCTAATAACATACATTTTCCTACAATTATGCTTCATTGCTTATTATAATTAGTTTTAAAAAAGACAGATCTCTTGTTTGATAACTTACATATAGTTTTCTCTATACTTTATATGGTAGAAATATTATTGCCTTATTATGTGACATATTATTATTGTAACTATATTATTATTGTCTTACTAATGATTGTGTCATGGCATGTGTTGTTACTTGTTAGGATATAATTGATTTAACGGATTCATTGAAGCATCTCTCACCTAGCCCAAGCCCACCAAAGAAAAAGAATAAAACTGAAAAGGTAAGTTATTGCAGTAGGAGGACCGACCCCCACAAGGCACCACTTTGGTTTGCACTAAACATAAAATAATTTCCTTTCCTTCCAGACCCTTTCTCTACCTCTTGTCAGACAAGATTTTGTAAATTAATTTGACTTTTGGTATTAAAATATTGTATGGTAGTTTTGGAGAAACCTTCGGTAGAATAAAACCTTGGTAAATAGTTGGATATAGGAGCAACTTTTTACTAAATATAAATGACATGCTCATATTATATATATGTACTATTTAAAGCACGCATAGGAGTGTTTTATCACATATAAAACACGACGCGTAGCGGAGTGTTTTATATGTGATAAAACACGACTACAAGTGCTTTAAATGGCTTCAAAAACGACTCATCTTATACGAGTTCATTGACATTGGCAAAGTAATTTTTAAAATAAACTTTGTCTAAACCGAGAAAATCAAAGCTAAAGTTTATGTAAATTAACATGATTTTTTATCACATATAAAACCACGACACGCTTATGATTTTTCTTTGTGTTTTCCTCCTGAATTATTAATGAGTTTTTGAAATATATCAATAAAGCTTTAATATGAGCATGTCATTTATATAAAGTAAAAAGTTGACATAGCTAAAGCTTTAATATGAGCATGTCATTTATATTTAGTAAAAAGATGACTAGCTTTTGTTAAGGTACGTTTTGCCATCAAAAAGGGAAAAATATGTGTCTTTATTGTCCGTGTCTATTGTAATAACCGCTGAGAAAACCTGGTCACACTACAAATTGTAATAACCGCTGAGAAAACCTGGTCACACTAGACTTTTACTTGAACACTAATCTCCTTCCCCCCATAAAATATTGGAGTGTGTGCAGCCCACACCCCATGCTGCCCACCTTTCTAGAAACCGCCTCACCTTAACATCTTTCCTTTTAAGTGAGTATAGCTACGTTTTGAAAGTATCCTGTAAATTAAACATATTTTTTATATTTTGCTCTTGTAGTTGTCAACTTTTTCCAAATGCCTGTCCTTCACTGATGAAAGTTAGGTGATTGTTGTGCACAAGAATTTAGAATTCTTGTGTTTTTGTACATTGGTAGTAGCAATTGTACAAGTACATGTATCTCACTTTATATGAAATGGGGATCGCTCACACACATGTGCGTTATATTACAAAAAATGTAATATGTACTGTACCTGTACAATATATTACAATAAAAATTGTGTATGATCTTTATTTTCGTTACTTGTAGTGAACAATCCCAGTTCATCGAAGAACCAGACACCGAGTTCTACAAAGGTGATGCGGGATGCCCTATATATAAGGCATCTGCACCTTTTCTCCCTTCCAGTGAGGTATGTGACATCATTCTCAATCCTGGTGAAAAGATCTGTACCAAAATTCCACTTGGCTGCCGAAGGAACGCCACATTCATCCTTGATACAACGTGTCACGACCACGCTGATGATTTTAAGGCAGATGATAACGGATCGTTCCGCCATCATGGAACCAAGTTTGAGTTCATTGAAATGGATGATGACGGTGAAGTCACACGCATCGATAAACCGATAAACCTCACACCGGGTCAATACAAGTTGTCTCGTACCTACTGGGTTCATAGCTCCACCAAGACCTTTAAAAGAAGAACCGTTACATTAGAAGATCACGAAGCGAAAGTCTGGCCAGTGATTGTCCTGCAGTATTCAAACACTGGAACAGAAGAAGATGTCAAACTTGAACCGCATAGGAACAGCAAAAAACGTTGTCAACCATATTATGCCACTGCTACAAGCACAAAACAACGTATTGAGGAAAAGGCCAAATCATCACTAGGACCATCGTCAATCTTTGATGAGCTGTATGAAGATGGTGGTGGGATGATGGAGAGCTCTTCTTTTGCTTCGTTGCCACGGGGTATTAGCCAAGTAAAGTACGAGAGGACGAAATTGAGACGACAGCATTCAAAAGATACTTTAGCGGAACTGATAGAACTGTGTAAGCAGTCAAATGGCAAATTCCTCCATTCGTTGCAAGTCAGCCCTGATGTGAGACTGGTTCTTGTTACTAAGGCACAAATTGCAGATTTGGTGAAGTTCTGTTGCAATCCCAAAAATTTTTCAGTATTTGGCATTGATGTTACGTGCAACATTGGCGATTTCTATGTTACTACAACAACATACAGACATTTGATGCTGCTGGACAAGGAATCCTGTGCCCATCCAAATTTCCCAGGCCCAATGATGATACATACTAACGAGGATGCGGCAGTGTTTCATTACTTTATGAGCACATTAAAGGGATTGAACAGGGAGATTGAGAACATACTTTTTGTTGGATGTGATCGTCAAAAGTCACTTGAAAATGGCCTGTCGCCAGAACTACCAATAGCTCGATTCTTGGCATGCAAAAAGCACATGGAGGATAACATCAAACGTGAAAGATGACATCCCTATTCCTACCCGACAAAATCAAAGCAGAATTTTTACTTGACATTTTTGGTGACCGGAGCATGAAAGGTTTGATCGACAGTGACGACAACGGAGATTTTGACGCCAGACTCCTGTCTCTTGAAAAATCCTGGGATGAGAGAGAGATTGCCACCGGAAAGGATAAGCCACTCTTCTCTAGTTATTTTGTAGCTAACATCGCTGAGGACATGAAAGAGAAGATGCTTCTTCCAGTGAGAAGATCGGCAGGCCTTGGCGATAATTTCTACTTTAACAACTGTCCCGAGAGCATGAACAGTTGTTTGAAGAAGGAAATCGACCATCAGAAGAAGTCTTCTAATCCCGGAGAATCATCAAAATGCTCTTACAGTGAATTTGCTGAGATTGCTCAGAAGTTTGTAGAGAAATACCGACGAAATATCCACAGAGCTATCTTAGGTGACTCCCCCTACGTGTTGGCGCCAGAATGCACAGATCTCGAGGTGTCTAAAGAACAGTGGGAAAAGCTTTCAAAGGGTCGGAAGATTGCAAAAATCACGCTATTGGATGAATGCGGCGCTGAAGATTATGAAGAATCTCCTGCGTCTCCTTCGACCTCTGCATCGCGTAGTTGTCCATCAAGTCAGATTTTGCCCGACTTCGAATCCACTGGTCTGCCAAGAAACTTGAAGCAGTTGTGGTCAAACGCAGAAATTATTCTCCAAAAGAATGGCGTTACCAAAGTTCAAGCTTCCTCTGGTTTGTCTGCCGTTATTTCGCTAAGAAAACCAAATCAAGTACATATCGTAAAGAAAGCAATGGCATTTCATGTGATTGTGATGGGTTTAAGAATTACAAGATGTGTTCTCACGTGATCGCCGCCTCTCAACAAGACGGAACACTGGGAGAACTTATTGCAAAATGGCAACCAAATCTGTCGAACATAGTACAGTCATCTATTCCCAAAAAATCTGGAAAGAAGCCAGGGCCAAAGAGAGTTTGTGGTTTTACCTGTGCTCCAGAGCAACGTGATATAAACCGTTTAGATGACCCGTTGAAAGATGTTCCGGCCTTTCCTAAACCTGAAGCGCTACATCTAAGATGGATTGAAGGTTCCAGAATTACTACGTGCTATGGGTGTGAAAACAAGTTCCACGCGTCTGTCAATGCTCCTCCACCTCCCCCTCCTTATGATGTTGTGCTCTGCAGAGCTCAAATAAAAGCATACACTCCCAGAGGCTCTGTGGGGTTACGATTCTCGTTTAAACCGGAGAATGTTTTCTTTCACCTCCGACGATCGTGCGTAGACCTTAAAAGCTCTGAACCCGTAACTGCCGAGTCAGTCGTGGTGTCCGAGTCTGATAGGCAGAAGCTGCGATCAAGCCACAAAGTGATGTTAAGAAAGGAATTCGGGGTGGTACTGTAGTTCCATAATACTAAGGACTATTGCATGAATTAGAAAAACGTTAAGTTACAGTACAGTATTTGATGCCGTAATAATGACGACTATTCTATGAATTAGAAAAACGTTAAGTTACAGTACAGTATTTGATGCAGGATAAAGTACCATAGGACAGGATAAAAGCATTTTTGTCATCATCATACTTTACACGCTGAACTGACATGACTTTATTAAAATTAAGGTTGCTGTTACGTTAAGGGTTACAGTTGCGTTGAAGGTACTAAATGTTTGGGTGTGGACTTGTTATGAGTTTTTGAAAATATTTAAGAGTTTGGGACAGAACACATCTCTGAACACGTTCAACTGAACACTCTTCCTTAAATCATAATGTAGCTATAAAGTATGCCTTATAGACCTTACCGATTATTCTCTTTTTATACCCAATGCCCTCTTTCCCATGTTAACTTACTTTTATAGCATGTCAGGGGCAGGTAAAGATTATATTCCCATGTTTTCCTGGACGAATTTGTTTCTTGCTGTTCTTAGGCTCAATAACAAAGTAATTTTCAACCCTACTAAGTACAAAACATGAATAAGTATTTGACACGAAAACGAGGCCAGTGGGTGAAAAGTGAATAAACGGTAAGGTAAGGTCCATCGCTTTCACGCTTAGTAAACATTTGATTTGACCGCAACAATGTTTATACCGTTTATAGGTTGGATTGGAAAAAAAAAATATATATATATATATATATATATTTCTAGCCCAGAATTTATGAATGGTATATTTGTTTCATTTTGTTAATATATTTTTGAAAATACAATGTTTGTGTGCATATTTTTTTTACCATTCTATTATTCTCATTTTATTACCATTATTAGTTAAGATATAGGGCAGTATGTGTAAGAACCAAGGGGAATTTTAAAGTCAGGGCTGGCCCTGCGGGGGATGTAGGGTTGTGTGACTACTTCCCTAAAAATAATTTTTGCAACGTACGTTTCAGTCGGCAGAGGAGTTTCGGGAAAGTTGCGCAAGTCGGTACACACGCGTGCGGATCAGTCGGTAAGCTTGGAGTTCATCTTACCCCACCCCCACACAGCCTGTCTATTAAGACTATTAAATAGTACATAATACTAACAGTAAGCTGTGCACTAAGCAGTAACAAATCTAGCCCACTGATTTCCTTTCTTCGAAGCCGAACGATGAAAGGTTAGATACGGTCGAAAGCCGTCGGAACATGACGCTATGTAAAGGTTACATGAAGTATGTGACAATGCAAACCTTGCTGTAATATTTTGGAAATTATTCAGTGAGATAAACAATTTTATTAATTTTGCATTTTCTGACGAATGTTGTATAAACTTCATAGTCTGCATTTTATACCTAGTCTGCGTATTCGGTCTGCAATTTATACTCATTCTGCACATTGTACCGAGTCTGCAGTCTGCAGTTTATACTGACCGTAACTATTAACGACAATGTCATTGTCACGTTTCAGACAGGTGTGAGATCTCAGACATGCTATTTTACTTATTTAAATTTGCAATGTAACAATTTTATCCAAATTTTAAATAGACCAGCTAGCCAAGCTTTAAACAGGTTACGTACCTAGCCTAGATGGATTTTGTTTGGTAACAATTTGCAATACAAGTTAACTTTTTATAGTTTTACCAGTGGCGGCATAACCAGAACGATAATTGGGGGGGGGGCATATTCATTCATGTTCACATACCATGAAAACAATTGATTTCAAAAGAAATTAATTAAGCAGAACACAAATATATGAATATGGGCTCCCCCCCCCCCAATTATTGTTCTGGCTACGCCACTGAGTTTTACATGTCTCATGTCAAATTACATTTCATATTACCCTGCAACAAGATATACCAGTTGTCAATCCTGTCATATGGATGGTTTTATTAAAACAAATTTTGTGTAGGGTATACAAAGATTAATACCTACGGAAATGTGCATTTGAGCATTTGACCTTTTTTATGTTTACATGTTATTATATATTTTTTCTATATAAACTTTATTTAACTGTTTGCCTCAAAAGCCATGCTTATCGAGGGGGCTCACATGTTATTATATTATATCAATGTTATTGTAGTATTGAATTTACTAATTATATGATGATCAGCAGTTACTATAGATATCACAGAAATTATTGGATGTATTTTCAAATGTGTTTTCTTTATACCGTATTCACAAAATTATTATTATATTTGAGTAGCCATGTATATTCTTATGTATATTCTTTTATTTGAGTAGCCAATATTCTAGAAATAGGTACGCAATGCGTACATGTGGCTAGCCTGGTAAACTTTAACTCCCCAAACCCTCCTCCAAACCCAGAGAGCCTGTCATGCTGGTTAATTTTAATAGTAATAAGAAGACATGCAGGCTAACTTTAATAGTAATAAGAGGACACCCAGGCTAACTTTAATAGTAATAAGAGGAGATATTATTGTACAATGCATATGCAATCTCCGTGGTGATTGGCTAAGAATCTACAATAGTCCAGCTGTTAAGTGACATAAAATATGGAAATCGTTCGTTTTGTGATAAAAGCATGAAACTTGGCACACATACTCATCTCGATGTGCTTATTAATTTCTGATATGGAGGCATCCGAGATATGGCCTATCTTGCCAGTTATGCGCATGTCAAAAAACGTCTTGGCATGAAAACGAGGCTGAGCGAAAATATCGCGTTTTGGGGACTTCTTGAAGTTGAATAATGCTAAAATCAATCGTGAGATGTTATGTGAGGGTTGGAGTTAATTAATAAAGTGCTTTAATAATTATTATGTGGTCAAAACACCTGAATAGTAGCTAAAAGGTGCTGTCATGTATGGGTTATTTTTGGAAATTCGAAAAAAATTCAAACTTTATATGCAATAAAACGAAATGTCGTTATCGTTGGCACTTCTTTACAGTTTTTCTTCTAGTTTCATTTGGAATGAAAAACGGGTTTTATTTTTTTAACCATTTTTGAGAGGAATTCGGTTTATTGATTGTAGTGTCCAGTCCTTTCTCGGTATTCAAGATGACGGCTTGCATGGTTGAAGGTACGTACAGTTAATCTCTACGATAACTGGAAGTTTGTGATCACTTTGTTGGTTTAATCCTTCCTTCTAACATTCATTAAGCTTTAAGAGTGTTTAATTATTACATTTAAGAATACTAAAGACAATATCTTAACAAAAGAATGGCAATACATAAGGTTTTATCAAAAATGGAACTGGTACAATTAAAATCGTACTTTTATAGCTGATTGATACTATATATATATATATGAATTTTCACAGACAAGACTCTAATTGTTTTTTAACTTTTTCATATTGAAGGCTGTTGTGATGGCTAATCAGTCACTAGTACCTATTAATTGGAAACTATGTATCATTTGTCAAGTTAAAACCAATGAACCTCTACAATGTCCTGCAAATTCCAAAAGGAGTGATGTAGGATCAGGATACAAATCTTTAGCTGATAACATAAAGTCATTTCAAAAAAGTTGGATCCTACAAAAATTGATGATGGTTCAGGAATTGAAAATTCATTAATCAAAAATAAAGCTTCATGGCATAAATCATGCAGAAATAAATTTAACACAACTGAGCTCAAAAGAGCTCAAAAGCGAAAGGTGTGTGAGGAGGAAAGAGAGCGCGAAGGAAACAGCACATGTAAAACGAGAAGGACAAGCTCACTACACTCTTCATCTAATAGGCAGAGTAGTGAACTAAGATGTTTCTTTTGTGATGAAATTGACAGTATAGCAAACCTTCATTGCGCATCTACTAAGGTACTTGATCAAAGAGTAAAACAATGTGCTGTCCAATTAAGTGATAAGAATCTCCTTGCCAAGCTAGCTGCTATTAGTGATATGGTCGCCCTAGAAGCGAAATATCATTCCTGCTGTCTGACATCATTATATAATCGTTGCAGAACAAATGCCGGCCCGAACGGTGAAAATGAATCACAACAAGAAAAACGCCTGCACGGAATTGCTTTTGCTGAAATAATTTCCTACATTGAAGAATTCTTCGAAGATTGAGATGTGAGTGGCTTTCCTCATCTAAGGTTAGCCGATTTAGCAAAGATGTACGTTGCAAAACTTAAAGATTTTGGTGTCGGTGCAAGTAATGTAAATAGTACACGTCTAAAGTAATGTAAATAGTACACTACCTCATGTTTCCGCACATTCACAAGGACGACACATACTTTTAGTTTTGGATCACGATGTTGGAGACGCAATAAAATTGGCCAATGAACTAGACACCGACGCTGAGGCTGCGCATCTTGCTAGAGCTGCAAGAATAGTGCGTAAGGACATCTTGAAACAAGATCAGTCTTTTGAAGGAACATTGGGCACTGAATGTCAAGAGAATTCTATTCCTGAATCTCTTAAAGCTCTCGTTACTTTTATATTGAAAGGCTCGACTAGTTAAAAAAAAAACAGACGACAAAGAAACAGAAGAAGATGTAAATGAAAATCAAGCGTCTCGTTCAATATCACAGCTAATCATATACAATACATTCGTCCGTCAGAGGAAAAAACCTGCTGCTACTGCACGCCATCCTAGAGAGAGAGAAAGACCCCTCTTCCAATATATGTCGCTCTGAAAATACATGGTTTAACAAGAGGACGAGGTTTAATTGACGCACTATTCAACCTTGAACTTTGCATCTCGTATGACTAAGTCTTGAGCATATCTACAGACATCGCAAACTCGGCTTGCGACCGATTTGACAAAGACGGGGTAGTTTGCCCTCCCGCATTACGAAGTGGAATCTTTACAACCGCGGGATTTGACAACATTGACCATAATCCGAGTTCCACAACAGCTCGAGATTCATTCCATGGAACTGCAATCTCTCTCATTCAATACCCGACAAAGCAAACGCCAGGAAGTGTTAGAAAGGTGACTGTAATCGATGGACGTCCCCAGAAAGAAAGAAAAATTTCCTCACTTCCCTCGCAATTTACTGATGTCCAGCCATTAGTTTTAGTAGTGCAAGACCTGTCGCCTCCACCACTGGTTGGGCAGCTCTCAGCTGCGGAAAATGAAAAGAATTATGGATAAAAGAAAGAAGTACACTGGCTTGACAATGTAAAGGACCTGATAAGCAGAGAGAAGCTCAAACCAGATGATGATATTTCATGGGCTGCTTACCATGCATCCAAAGAACCTCAACTACCTGACTATGAACCAGCTGTTACCTCACTGATGCCCCTGTTCCTGGAAAACGCACACTCTGCACCTATGATTCTTCACGGTATGAATGTCATCCACTCTGCTGTAGAGCTGGTAAATCCAGGACAGACACCTGTTATCGCCATGGACCAACCTCTATTTGCTCTTGCAAAACAGATCCAATGGCAATGGCCCCATACACACGGAGAAGACAAGTTGTTGGTCATGTTTGGAGGCTTGCATATTGAACTGGCCATACTTAGAACACTAGGCAAATGGCTGGACAAAAGTGGCTGGACAACTGTCATGGCAAACGCTGATGTTGCGACACCTGGAGTTGTCGACTCTTTTACCTCAGCCAAGCATATCACAAGAACAAGGAGAGCTCATCAAATAACTTCCTCATCCCTCTACGTTCTTCAGCATCGAGCATATGAGAAATATATCACAAGAGCGGAAGATAGAGTCCTTCTGTCTTTTACAGATTGGAGAGAAAAGATGTCAGAAACGTGTCCACACTTCCTCTATTGGTGTAGAGTCATTGAGTTACAGCTACTTTGCTTGCAGCTGGTCAAAGCATTCCGAACTGCGGATTTCAGCTTGTATGTCGACTCTCTAACGAAGATGATGCCATGGATGTTTGCACTTGACCAGACAAATTACAGCAGATGGCTACCAGTTCATATCCGTGATATGCAAGAGCTTCCGATCAAACACCCTGATGTGTATGATAAATTTATCAATGGCTTTTTTGTTGTCCATAAGACACACAAACGGTTCTCTGCGATTGCACCAGACCAGGCTCACGAGCAGGAGAATGCAGTCGTAAAAGGTGAAGGCGGAGCGGTGGGACTGACAGAAAATCCTGGTGCATTGAAACGCTGGATGATTTCAGGACCCGAGATTGCAAGAATTGTATCCGAATTTGAGAAAACAACATCATCTAGATCTGCTGATAGTCTAAAGCACCACGAGCAGTCGTATAGCCACCAAACAGCATTTTGTAGGGATGTTCAGTCAGTTTTGAAGAGTTAGGAAATCCCTTTGAGGAAGAAGGAAAAGATCTCCTTGCAGTTGATACCAGGGACATTATGAGCGATGTTGTTGTGGAAGCGGTATCACCGATCCTTACATATTCTTTTTTTCCAGCAATATCCTATGTTATTAGAACATAAATTTACAAAAAAGGAAAAAATAATAGAAAAAAAGAAGAAAAACAATATCGTACAACTGAGACTCCACAAGACTCCTGATGTAAGTTATGCCAGTATTATGACACAGATGAAATTAAATTGTTTAATAATGACAAAAACGCAATATCATCGATCCTTACACATGCAATGTTTAATCTTTTCAGCAATGTACTATATAACGTCAGACCCAAGAACGTACATTTATAAAAAAAGAAAGAAACGAAAAAGGAAGAAATTGCAAGTACTTTAAAGACAACTAAGACTATACACAACAAGACTCAACTCTTGACGTATGCTATGCGAGTTATGCTTATTTCGAAACGATGATGAAACAAAGTACATTCTGGTTCGTGAGTCACGTGGTTGATCACGTGTTCATACCCGGGGCGCCTTCTTTACCCCTCTTTCTTACTATTGATGCTTACACAACATCTCACGATTGATTTTAGCATTATCCAACTTCAAAAAGTCCCCAAAACGCGATGTTTTTGCTCAGCCTCGTTTTCATGCCATGACGTTTTTTGACATGCGCATAACTAGCAAGATAGGCCATATCTCGGATGCCTCCATATCAGAAATTAATAATCACATCGAAATGAGTATGTGTGCCAAGTTTCATACTTTTATCACAAAACGAACGATTTTGTCACCTAACAGCTGGACTAGCGAGTTGTTATCCAATTTCTATCAACGTTTCGCCGAATGTAGCCTAATATATGAATAATTGGCATATATAGTGTTGTAAAGTATGCGACAAAAACAAATTCTCGAAAATTGCTACAAGTTTAAAGTTTGTGGTACCTTCGCGCCGCTATCTACAGTTTCACTAAAAACCTCTCCAACTACTGTATCGTTCGTACTCTTCTCAACGATTGTTCTAAAAAAGGAGTTCGCATTTTATTGTTGCTTTAGGGGTTACTTAAGTAGCTAAGGCATAGTCTTTCCCGACTTGTGTTCTGCGTTTAGTCTGCGCATTCGACTCGAAATTAATGCGTCTGAAAATTTCCCACCAAGCATATAGACTTCGGAAAGCATTTTTGCTTGATAACTTGGTTGATTTCAAAGATTTTAATTTGAAATTTTTTCCTGACGACAATTTTGAAATTTTAAAGTTTTTAGGGTAACCTTAAACATTCCTGTGTAATACATTTAAACGCATCCAACGATCACCCACATCCATAAACACAAACCCTGCAAACACCATGCAGCAACATCTCTCCAATAATCCAAGATGATACAACCATAGCAACGCATCCGCCAACAACCAATCAAATACCCCAATCAACCAAAGCACCAATCAGACGCTCATGTCGAATACAACAACAGAGAGAACAGGCGGAGCGCGAAAATTTATATTCCTGTATTTGCGCATGCTCAGTCCACCTCACTATAGTACTATATGTAGCCCCTATGAATTGATGAAAGATGCAACTGTCGGTCACGTTTGACTCCCAACTCTCGTTGACTCTCTTGCAATCACCAACTCTCACCAACTTTGAGATGGTTCAATTTTTGATGAGAATTTTTGCTACACGACTCTTATCAACTCCCATGCAACTCGTTTGACCAGACCACGAGAGTTGAGAAAACCCTCATGCAAACTCTTCCTTGCCAACTCTCATAAACAACTAACTAACTACGTCCTTATTTGACCAGGGCTTTATGTATAAAATATCACGTACAAATCAATTCATGTACAACTTTCCAAAATTTAACAAAAAAATGTATTTTTATGTTTAGCTTGTCGCCATGATTCTGGCCTTTCTTCTGCTCAATTATTTCAAAAATAACGGCCAATTTGTTTGAAGAAAATCTTCATTCATACTTCTACAAAGAAACTGTACTAATGTATGTGAAATATTGTAATAGCATTTTATTTTAGTTGCTACTTTGATTAAATTGAACGAAAAATCGTAAGTAAAATTCCTGATTGTAATTTAACCCGATTCAGTTTTCTGTTTCAAATATTTCTGTATTTGCATGGAAATGTAGTGGGATGTAAAATTTTTAAAAAATTATAAAACTGAACACTCATCCAGAGGTAAAAGTTTTGTTTAATAAGTTTTCAAATTCTACAATTGCACAAAATACAGTTAGTAGTATTTTGTTCTCCACTGTGTACGAAGGCTAAAAACCGTACTAATAATAGCACTATAGGCATTTCGTTGTCTTTACGGAGTTAAATGTAAGTCCAATGTGTTACCTCCATGAACTACTAGATATCAGTCTTAAGGCTGATATCTAGTAGTTCATGGCGGCTAAGTTTCCTTTGAATTTTAAGTTAACCTAGAGTTAAGCTAACCCAGCTTTGAACAACTGCCCCCTGAGCTATATTCTCATGACGTGATTTCGGGCCAGTAATGTATGGAAAGTAACTCAATATATCTGAAGTTATTTAGTCAATTCGAGCATTTGCTAGTGAATGTAGTCATAGCAAAATTTGGTGAGATTTTCATTCCATAAACACGTACGAGGTAATCCTCTGTAAGACGTTTTCAACCTGTCATTACATCAAAAACTATATTACTGAATCAGGAGATTATAACCAGGAGTATATTGATTATTATCCTATAATATTGCGATTGTATATATTTATATTATATAACCATATGTTTACAGTGTAATTACAATTATCTGATTCTTTATATTAATAAATGTTATTGTTACAAAATGTTTATAATGTGTCATTTTATTCTGATTCTGTCAGTATGGGTAATATACTATGGTTTCGAGTACAATTTGGGGAAAAAAACATGTACGAGTGAGTTTTTAGACACGATCAAAATTGCACGAGTCCGAAGGACGAAAGTAATTTGATGTCTTTGAAACTCACGAATGTATGCTGTTCCAAATTGGTCTAGAAATCATACTATTAACGGCTTATTGACCGAGCGTGAGGTCTGTACTGTGAAATATCAGACCGAGGTTTTCTAGTATGCAAAAAACAGAGGCAAAAAACAGAGGTCTGATATTTCACAGTACAGACCGAACAAGCGAGGTCAATAATCGGTTTATTATATGGCTGAACTGAGTCTGTGAGCACATGCTTTTCGCGCGAATTAAATCCGCTATAGTCAGTTTCACTGGGTAACAATATACGGTAGGCATGCTTGCTCAATCAAAAACAATTTGGTTGTTTGAAATTTTTATTTGTAAATTTTAATGACACACAATTGGAAAATTAAAAACCAAAAAATTTTTCTGTTTGCAAAGCAAACATTTCCCGCCAGATAAACGACATCCGGGACAGATACGGAAAATACGGACCGTGGTCCGGATATGAGTTTTTACAATTTACGGACCGCTTGTCAACCAATCAGAATAGAGAATTTTGAAAAGCCATATAATAATACTTGTTATTAATAATAATAATAAAATTATTATTATAAATTTCCAAACTAGCAGTAACAACTGAATTACTTTGGAATTATACAAGGTATAAGAACATAAATATTCAATCTATTCTATATTTACAGTACAAGTAAAAATAGGTAAATTAGGTAAAAATTACGATAATAAACTAAAGTTTACTTATTATAAGCACGACACGCAGCAGGAATGAAACTGTTCGAAAAACGTTCAGTTCTACACCTAGGTACTAATTGGTTAGAATAAGACCTCAGATCATAAGTTTGAAGATTTTTAGGCGGTACTAAGGCATTCAGTTTATGAGTGGGTTCCAACATCTTCGAAAACATCACTTGCAAAGAACTGTTCTACGTTCATAAAGAGTCATTAAGTTAAGTTTGCTTTAAGCAAACATTGAGCATAGGTAGTTCCAGGAAAAGTAATTATTAATGCCACACCTGACAAGCATATTCCACAATTGGTCGAATATGTGTACAATAGGTTGAGATCAGGATATGAGAAGGTAAAGCATTTCTTTTAAGATGGGGCAGACCATACAAACGCTTCGCGGCAAAACACATGAAAAAATTACACACTTCGATAACACCTGTGTACTTATCTACGTCGTTTAAAGATTGTTTTTCATTGCTTGTCAGCAAATGTTTTCAGTCTTCATGTCTTTTTTTCAGTCATCAGTCTTCTTCTCATTCCTTGTAATTGTTTTTCATTGCTTGTCAACAAATGTTTTCAGTCTTCATGTCTTTTTTTTCAGTCATCAGTCTTCTTCTCATTCCTTGTAATTGTTTTTCATTGCTTGTCAACAAATGTTTTCAGTCTTCATGTCTTTTTTTTCAGTGATCAGTCTTCTTCTCATTCCTTGTAATTGTTTTTCATTGCTTGTCAACAAATGTTTTCAGTCTTCATTTCTTTTTTTGTCTTCAGTCTTCTTCTCATTCCTTGTAATTCTCTGCTCATCACGAAATTAAAAGATTACGGTATCAACCCCTATATCATCAATTGGATATGCGATTTCCTGATGGATAGACAACAAAGGGTAAAAGTGGCAAGTGATATATACTCAGAATGGAAAGATGTAGTGGCCGGCGTTCCGCAGGGCACTAAATTAGGGCCATGGCTATTTTTAATAATGATCAATGACTTAGAAATATCCAGCGCTGATGGAAACGTAATATTTGTTGACGATACAACCTCGTTCGAAATTGTGGAAAAAGATAAATCAAGTTCAATGCAACTAACGGCCGATGAGGCATCCGCTTGGTCTAACGACAATATGTTCCAAATCCAACCGAAAAAATGTAAGGAATTGAGAATATCTTTAAAAAAAACCCCTGGAACATAGGAAATAATACCATTAATGGAAACACAATAGACGTTAGATCTGTCAAAATTCTAGGAGTTACATTGCAGAGTAATTTAAAGTGGAATGAGCACATCAACAACATCGTCAAAAGGCGTCCAAAAGACTCTATTTTCTGTCACAACTGAAAGGGGCAAAAGTACCATCTAACGACTTAGTTAACTTTTACGGGACATGTATCCGTTCACTGTTACTATATTCTTGCCAAGTTTTCCACTTTAACCTCCCCGAGTTTTTAAACATGCTGGAACGAATTCAGAAACGAGCGTTGAATATCATATATGGTTCCGATGTACCGTATTCTGAAGCGTTGGTAATGTCGAAACTGCATAAACTCTCCGATCATCGTAGTCATCTTGGTGATGAATTTTTCAACAAAATTGTAAATAAATGAACCCAAATGATAAACTTCATGGGCTTCTGCCTTATAACCTGAGCGTAATGTCTTTGTTAAGGAACAAAAGAAATTTCACTGTACCTATATGTAAAACGGATCGTTTCAAAAACTCCTTTATAATTGCAGCCGCTGGACGGTATAATGACCACAGTAGTTCTAGCATTTTATCCGGAAATGTTTTAATTTTATATGTAAAACCCAGGGCCGCCCAGAGGGGGGGGGGGGGAAGGGGCAAATTGCCCCAGGCCACGAGTTGCTGGGGGCCCCTGAAAAATTTTGTAGGGCCCCAGCCTTTTTTGTGTGTTAAATATTTCCGCGCAAAGGACAAGATAACTGTTTTCTTGGGCTAAGTACCGAATTTTGGCATAAAAAAATGAGATAAAGTCCCTCGAAAGCATTTGCAACGTACTCGTCCGGCCAAATTTTGTACTCCGGAAAAATTTTTTTACCCCTAAAATGGTACACTGACCGAAAATTTTTTGGCGACGGGGGGGGGAGGTTGTTATCCGGAAAAAATTTTTTCCGGGAAAATCTTTTTAGATAGGGGCCCCTAAAAAATAATTTGCCCCGGGCCCCCGCCAACCTCTGGGCGGCCCTGGTAAAACCTTTTTAAATTCAGTTCTTTGCTGTAAAATCAAGGTTATAATTCTTAATAAACGATCTATCTATCATAAACGATCTATCTATCTCATTGTACTCAGATAAATTATTTTATTATATAAACAAGTGTTATATAGAGTTTTTGGCTATTGAGAAAAATCGTATTTAAACACATTTAAGAAATACGATATTTTTACGTTTGAAAATGATCACTTTTCAATTATCGTTTTTCTGTAAAAGTTATCGCTTTTCAAAGACTGTCCTTTATATAATAAACAGAAAAATACATTGGTGCTTGGAAAAACCAAATTTATTTCTCGTGTTGAACATGATATCTCACTCGTTCGCTGCGCTCACTCGTGAGATATGTTCAACACTCGAAATAAATCCGGTATTTCCGCGCACCCATGTATTATTCTCTATATATTCACGCACGGTTCTCAATCCACCACTTCAGCGGTAAAACGCACGTGTAAATTCCAAGGGTGTCACGTGGTACAGAATGTAAACATTGCGGACATTCGCTCTGTTGTGTAATAGGAGTTAATATGGCGCTCACTTCGTTCGTGATTTGAATTGCAAATTTATATTGTAATTATATATTGTATATTTCGGTGTTGTTATGCCACAAATATAAAGAAAAATGTCTAAAGATTCTATATCAGATATTAAAGGCGTTGTAGCCCTAAAAATCACTTGCTTTGAAACGACGGCGGTCCATAGTAATTTTAATGATTATAGTGATTTAATATGGTTGCGACGAAGAGATGCGCTTGGGGAACATTTAAGAACGATTTTTGCTACCCACACTCGATGGCTAAGAATAAGAATGGCCATCCTGTATATTTCTATCGCTTCCCAGCACCAAAAAGATCGCAAGAGAAGCGGTCGCGTTGGATAACAGCCTGTCATCGAGGTGATAACTTTAATACTTGTTCTATAAAGGACAGCTATATTATTTTGCAGTTTGCAATAATTTTGCCGGTGGGCCACTTCGTGAAACGTTGGTATAACAGTAACCAAAAATCAATCTTTTCCCATATATATAGCCATCAAAATCTTAGAATTAAGTACTTTGTCTCTGACAATGGAATATCGCCTGTTTTATATTTGCGTTCTTTTATTACTAGACTTTACGATATATATATATATATATATATATATATATATATATATATATATATATATATATATATATATATATATATATATATATATATATATATATATATATATATATATATATATAAATATCAAGAAATCATAAATCTTCAAAGTAAATAAATTATATTTTTACGTTTCGGGAACAAGCCCCTTCTGGCTTCTTCCCGTTTCGGGAACAAGCCCACGTGGGACATAACTATTTAGTTTCTCAATCCAAAAGCTCTCCCTCTCATAAATAATTATAATAACCCCACTGAGAGGGAGAGCTTTTGGATTGAGTGGGCTTAATTTAAGGGAAGAGGTTTAATTAATTTATGCATAGCTAAACGTTAGACTATTTAAGCAAGAGACGGAGATGATGTAGCGTTATTCTGAAGAAGGGGCTTGTCCCCGAAACGTAAAAATATAATTTATTTACTTTGAAAATTTATGATTTCTTGATATTTATAAATGAAGATTTTTTGGGGCTGGCTCTTGATATATATATATATATATATATATATATATATATATATATATATATATATATATATATATATATATATATATATATATATATATATATACCTGTATAATGATAAGCTTTATTATTTTCCACTAGTCACATAAACAGATTTCGGCAAAGCATTTTTGGGTTTTGTAGCAAATTGGTTGGTGTAATACAATATCATTTGCAGAAATTACTGGTAAAGTCTAGTAATAAAAGAACGCAAATATAAAACAGGCGATATTCCATTGTCAGAGACAAAGTACTTAATTCTAAGATTTTGATGGCTATATATATG